ATATATATATATATATACAATTTTTATAGAGCTATATTTTTTTATCCAAAGAATAAAATAGTAAAGTGTATAAATATAAGAAGAAGCAATATATCATAGAAATTATAATTTATTATAATTCATGTAGACAAATGTATAATATAGATATAATTTAACTAAACAATCTGTTAATAATATTCGCTTTTCTGTTAAATATTCTCATTGAACAATAGAACAATAAAGTAATAAATCTCTATAGCTTAAGTTAGTATCAAAAAAACTATTGATCAATGCTTTACGTTTTACTTCCGGCATTTTAAGATCTTCTGAGGATGGTCTTACATCATTGATTTATTTCGTTAAGGTACGTTACGTTAAGCTTTCAAAATATGTTTCAAAGTACAAACATACATATTATATACAAAACTAAGATTCATCAATTATTTTGTGCTGTATTGACATTGACAGTTACGTCTTATTCAAATTATTATATCTAAAAAAAAAACAATTTATAATCTACATGTTTTTTATTTTTTAAATTATACTTTAATTTTATACGCAAAAGTTTTATCAAATGTAGAAGACTTTTTTTTTATTGTTGTCTCGTATATCTTATAGAAGATAATATATAAAATCCGGAACAAACAAAATAATCACGCGCGCTATAGGCAAATAATACTGGTGAAAAAATCATTTCTTTGTTAGTGAATATCATTTCTTTGTTAGTGTTATATCATGAATTCGCGCGGGAGCTCTAGCTACGATAAATTATCTCGTTTGCAGGAGCAGCTATGCGTTTCATGTTCAAGCAATGAGAGCTCTTTAGCTAAATTAAGTTATTAGACGATTAAAAATTAGATCCTGACGAGATGATTCGATAAATACAATCGATCTGAAATTTTTTTCACGTTCGTGCACTTTTAAGTATCGATACCCAGATGTTTGAAACGATTCTGTATTTATGACATACCATATGATATAAAAACCTTTTTGCGTTTCATATAAGTGTTGTTTATGTTAATTCGATAACAATCGATTGACAAGCAGTTATTACTCGAAATGTATGCAAATAAATTCACAATACTTAGCTTATTGTGAACTGAAATCATCTTTATATACTTAATTTGATGTGAAAGTCAAATTTAAATATCTTCAACTTATATTGGATGTAGAAAAGATAATTTTGTATCTACACGAAAAAAATGATTTTGCTGAAGTATCGAAAATCAGATACAAATTTGAAAATAATTTTGTTGAATCGTTTAAATAATTATGTAGAAAACTCAAGCATGATAAGCAATGCTACAAAAATTTTGAAAATTTTCTACCAGCTTAAACGTTAGTAACGGTTTAACTCATTGAAATTTTTGAAAGAATATAAATGGCTTAACAAAAGAATCCATAACCTTGTTTCTGTTTTTGTAGATACCCTTCATTTGAAATTGCTTACAGCCGATTCGTGTTTAATTGCAAGACAATACTTCCATTTTTTTTTGTATAGATATAAAATATATTCGCGAGTTTATGAAAATACAATATCTTATTTATATTTTTAATATAGAATGTTTTAAAACAATTTACCATAAAAAATATATTAAGAAAAAGACTAAAATATGTGAAATAATAATTTACCAATAAGTCTGCAAAAATGTTTACATTGCAAAGTATAGATTAATAAGTATTGGACAAGCAGATTTTAAACGCTTTGTTACATCCATTACACGGGATCCTTTCTTTTTTCCCATGATCCATAATTTCCCATAAATATTCCAACCTAGCTGTCATAACGGAAGGCGTTCGGTCAGATGTCGCGACCTTCTCATTAACCCCGGGAGGCTGAGAGCCTCAGAGTACTTGGCTTGACCACAAACTTCTCGAGAAAGATCGAGAAGGCGCGTCACGTCTTAAATTTGGAACGCCCATCCTCTGGTCCCGCTGCTTTTGGGGTTCGATCTTGGGATGCACCTGCAGTTCGCACCCACGCAGTCATAAGATCATACAGGAAGGAAATGTTACCCCTAAGTCTCGAAATCTTCATTTCCGCTCGCAGTAAGGAGGCTGATTTTTTTAATTTAAAGAGATCCCCTCCTTCTGCTTTATGTACAATACGAATCTCACGCGATGTTATTCGCGTAATATATTAATCGAAAAAACTAACTCCCCCAAGGAAAGAGAGCTTCATAATCTTTTACGAGAACTAAAATCCGTGTGAGCATTAGTATATATAATATGTATACCATAGTTAACCCTGATATATCGATGTCGAGGTATGCACTAAAAAAATACATGCGTGGGGTCGATAGGACGACATCTGGATTGTCGTTCCCGGGAAACGTGGTTGTAAATACAGGAAAATAACTCGTTTCCGTGGGATTGAATGAAAAAAAAAAACGCCAGCGGCGTCACTTATAGCGTTCGCCATTCGTTTCTTCTAAAAGGAAAATATGTGGACAAATATTCTTGTAATATATTTTTTTCTTATTATAGTGTTACGTTTTAATTTTAAACAACTCGAAACAATTTTGAATTATTAATAAATAACATAATTGATAAAATCTAAAGGAGAATATTACCTTTATAAAAAAATTTCAATTTTGTGTGATTTTATATTATTTTTTAAATACTTTTCCAATAGTATTAAATAAGTAATTGAAACATAAGTATTAGTAACAAATCAATTTCAATAGGAAAGTGAAAAAAAGGACTATAACTGAAATTTTATACGGTAAATTGTAGAAGATAACACGAACATGTCTTTAGCACAATAGTTCTGAAAATGCCAATCGTGAATCAAAAATATTTCATTCAAGTGAATTGGGTCAGTGGGTTTCACCGCTGGGAATCGAGTCGTGTACTGGACACATGTAAAGAAAAATGCTTTACAATAGCAAGCTCGCTCAGGTAATTCTGATTTATTCCAAATAATAAAATCTTCATGTTGATTATTTTCACGAGAATATATAAGAAAAAAAAATATTAATTTCTAAAATATTTGAAAATTATATATATTATATATAAAATTTTTTTATTTTTAAATCTTAATTTTTATTGTTTATCTTGATTATTAATTATATTTGTAAATATTAACAAATTTACTTTATCAATAATTTTTTTAAATTTTCTAAAAATGGATTTTAATTTTTTTTGTAAATTTAAATAGTTATAATGGTTGCCTTATTCAAAATCGCGTATAGCTCTCGTGACATGACTGCTCTTGCACACAGCATTTGATGCAAGTTGCATCCCCCTTGCGTAAGTATTGAGAGCCCGGAGAGGACCGTCCCATTCTCGCGTACCCCTTTCCGGAGTGGCAGAGTCTTTTACCTTGGCTCGCAAAAGTTCGTGCCCGCACGACGCTTACGAGCTTACGGCGAAGAATCA